TTAAATTTCTTATTATAAAGAAATATATTCTCAGTGTACTTTCTGTGCTTTTAAAAATATTTGAATCACTGTCTTGTGATATGGCTTAGCCAGTTTGTTTGCACTATTACATATTTTTGGCAGTTGAATCTTCAGCTCAGAAAGTTAAATTGCAGAAATGTGGGTAGAGAGATAAAATTGTTTAAAAGAACAATGAAGTCTTCCTCACCTAAAGATCTAAATTACTGTGAATTATTTTTGTTATGTTATGAGACTGTAGGAAACTTTATTGCAAGAAAATCTGTAAGGAAACATCATTTTGATATTATAATTAATGAGCCAAAATGCCTTTTAAGTATAATTTATTTTTAATTTTTATTGTAATGTTTATATCTGAAGACAAATTATTCTAAAAAGAATGAACAATACGCTACTTATTTATAAACATGAAACACCTCAAGAAATATTCAAAACATGGTTTAGTGTTTCTTACTTTAATTTACCTCCTTCCATAAAATGCTAATATCAGATGTATAAAAAGCTTATAGCATATAAGGTATTTGCATACCCATGCATTCTTATTCCCCCACTGTGTCTCACACACAATGTTTGTGATTCTAGTTTGACTTCTGGTGGGTTTTCCCTTACCCCATTTTGTCATCCATCTGTTGAAAAAGAACTGTTTGTTGGTTTACAGAGGTAGAGGGCAACTTCTTTTCTTCAAGTCTATTTAAAAGAAAATGCAGCTTTTTTTTTTTTCCCCACCAAGTTTGGGGTTGTAATGTGAGTATCTGTGATTATAAAAGAATGTGGGTATGACATGACAGCTACAGTAAATTTATATGAGCTCTTGTGTACTCAGTAATTTTGTCTAGTTCTAAATATGACAATTGTGACAATCGTTAAGTATATAATCATAAGAATTATATTAAAATGGATGTGGAAAATACTAAACACATTATGTATTTCATTTTCCCGTAAGATTGTTCTTGAGGATTTTAATAAATATGTGTATTTGAAAAGTAGAATTATAGAGAGAGGATTGGGGGCGGGGAGAGTGTTTGAATAAGTGAGAAAGAGAGTAAGAAACTTTGAGAGAGAATCTTTTATTGCTGGTTTGCTTCCCTAGTATCTGCAGTAGTTGGAACTGGGTGGGCCAGACCCAAGTACTTGGGCCAGTGTTCTGCTGCTTTCCCTGCAGTGTTAACAGTGAAATGGTAGAGCAGTGCAACTCAAACCAGTGTGCACACGATAATGTCTCAGTTGCTGCAGATGTTTAACCTACTGTGCCAGGATGCCAACTCCCTCTGAAAGTTATTTATACATATTGTGACATATTTTAGGAATTTTAATTTCTGTGGTAATATAAATGTTCTGTTAGCCATTAGCTACACATAACTGTTAAACACTGGATATATGGTACTATTATTGCACTCATTATTTTGTAAAAATCCCCACATAGCTGGTTTCTCTGATGTTGGAGACTGTGTGAGTTTAGACAGCCTCTGTTTTACAGAATTTGAATGTCAGCTAATGTAGAAGTAATACTGCCGCCTGACCTTAGGCCTTTTCTAAAATACTGTAAATATATTTGTGTAATATCCCCAGTATTCATCATGAGATAATCCCTTTTGGGTTTTATTTATTATTATTTCCCATGATGCAGTTTCATAGATGTAGGGGCTCATTCCTCCCTACCTCCCAGTTTTCCCCTTCTGCCATTTTGGCCAAGAGTAACACAGAGGTATAGTCCAGCTACAACCTCAACTTTCTGTTTCTGAACTGTTTCATGGTATTATAGGTATGAGCAAATATAGGACACCTAGTATTCTCCTGCAAAGTCAAATTGAACTGTTTTACTGGGAAATATTCTGAAATCCACTTATGCTTTCAAGAGGCAATGAGATGGGAATGGTAATGATATGTTCAACACCACGTACCAGGAAAAAATGCAAGTCAGAACTCAGTTGTGAACAGCCCCTTAACTTACATCCTTTGTGTTCAAATTTATGAAAATGGTGTGTAAATATGCGTTATATCAGAAATACCGCCATGGTTGATCCAAACCACAATTTTATAAAAGGAAGATGGAAATCCAGTGTAACCAAGAAATTAACAAAAAGGAAAAGAAGGCAAAGAAATACCAATTATTCCATTGTTGTTTTGAGCAGGGTAGTGCAGTGAGTATGTTTAACAATTTATAATCTGTGGATGTTTAGGCTGTGTGGATTAGGACCAGGATGCATTATGGTGTATGTTTATGATGCTTTACAGTTTGAAAAGTGTTTGGTTTCCTCCCAACCCCATGAGAGCCTCCTAGTCTTCTGAGTGCCAGTATGGACTCAATAGATGTAATGTTAGAGATTCAGTATTTTTCATTGGTAGCTTTAAAAAAGAATACGTAAGAGCATCATTCAGTATTATTAAATTGGTACTAAAGATAAGCTTATTCGTATTGTGTTTTATTAGAGCACTAGTGCTTATATTCCAATATCTAGAATTTGTGTCCAGATATATTTCATATCTAAAATCTTAATAATTTCTTGGTTCTGAGTGATTCAGCATGGTAGATGTTACACACATCCTACTCAATTGAATTCTTACAGCTTTCATTCACTTTCTAGAAACTTTATCCTGAAAAAATATTTTCATGAAAATCTAATTGTTTACAAAGAATATCAGTAATACTTGATTCTTTTTTAAAAAGTTCAATTTTGCTTCTTAATTTACTAAGACACAATATAATGAAATAGATTATTTAATATGGGAAAGTCATTTTTGATTTTCAGCTCATAGGATTCATAATGCTGAACTGAATGTAAAGGAAATTAGTATATACTTTATTCCTAATTGAAAATATCTATATGATTCTGCTAAGTGTGTACTTTAATTATCAATGAGAAATATATGAAAAGTAACTTGAAAATATAATAGATTTTGTATTTCTATGAACAATGGAGTGAAATAATTTATTGAAATAATAGAAATAGTAAAATGATTTATTATCTGTGCACATTGCTTTGAAAGAAATAAAGATAAAAATTTTCCTCAATTTGAAACTTATAAGAAACTTGCACTATTTATACAGTACCTGGAAGGGTTATCAGATATTCACAATTTGTAAAACTTTACATTGTAGCTATGGATTTCTAGAATCCTACTTTTGGTGTGCTCCACCCATCTGAGGGGATTCTTGTCCTGTTTCTCTTCTGTTCCCCCATGTCGCTGTCCTCAGGCCTCCTTGACTCCTGTGGATCTTCTACATTTTATGACCAGGCTTTGTCAAAGGCAGTTTTTTCTTTAAGATTTTTTTTTAAATTTTCATTATAAAGTCAGATATACAAAGAGGAGAGACAGAGAGGAAGATCTTCCATCCAATGATTCACTCACCAAGTGACTGCCATGGCCGGTGCGGTACCAATCCACAGCCAGGAGCCAGGAGCTCTTCTGGGTCTCCTACACGGGTGCAGGGTCCCAAGGCTTTGGGCCGTCCTCAACTGCTTTCCCGGGCCACAGGCAGGGAGCTGGATGGGAAGTGGAGCTGCCGGGATTAGAACCAGTGCCCATATGGGATCCCAGCGCGTGAAAGGTGAGGACTTTAGCTGCTAGGCCACGGCGCCGGGCCCCAAAAGCAGTTTTTCTAATCTCTCTTATACAATCTACTGTATAATAACACTTGTTTATTTTTCGTCTTTTTAAAAAAATTAATACATTTCAGATAATACAGAAAAGTTTGAATAGGAGTTCAGTGAGAACACAAAGTATGTTTTTCACATTCACATGTTTAGGCACTTACATACTATTTTTTAAAGTAGGGGAGGATATACTAATATAAAACATTGCAAAACTCATGACAAAGATAAAATGTTATTAAGTAAGGGGCATAATTCAGTGAAGATAGCATTAATAAATATGTATCTATGTCAAGTACCATGGCATCTATGCATATATATATGCATATACAAGTATACATATACTTCCTCATGTCAGAGAAAAAAGTAGAATGTTTCCTTCTGTGTCCACTGATTTCACTTGTCATGTTTCCTATTTTCATCCATTTTATAAATCTACTTCCTGCTCCACCACATCACTGGTACCCTTCCTTCCAGTTCTGTAAGATTTTCGTGTCTCTCCTGGTGTTTGTTCTGAGCTATGGTTCTCTTAAGGATTCTTAAATTGCTCCTCTCTCCCGGAAGATGTCAGTTTGCTTTCAGGGGTGAAGAGATTCCTATACCATTAGTTTGCTTCTTGTTCCATTTCCTCTAAGATCTTATCCTTTTCAAATCAGACTGGCTTCGTTAACTCTCTGATGTTTTAACCAGATTTTTACATTTTACTTATCAAAAGTGAATATATCGTAAGCCGAAACAGACTTCTAGCCATCATTTAGCAGTGTCTGCAGTGTAGCAGCTAACTGCTGATAGTGTATTGGTAATTTGTTTACATAGGATGCCTTTTCAGATTCCAGATTCTAAAGTTCATATGAGTGGGATTCACATTTTTCAGGTTTGATACTATTTACGGTGTTTTTCTATATTTTTGAGAAACAGTAGCTTTTATTTCTACTTGCTAGTTCTTGACTTAAACTACCTAATGGAGTTTCAAGCCTGTGATTGAAATGAATTACAAATATGCTATTGTAAAAATTTTTTAAAGACAAAAAAGAAAGGAAGGTGGAGGAAGGTTGACATGGAAATAGTGCTGGAAAACAGATTGATGAGAGAAAATCTGAAAAATCTACAAAGGATACTCTAAGAGCTAAGCAAGAGTGCACATATCTTGGCCCAGAGAAGGGATCCAGCAGGTGAGTGAGAGTGCTTCCTACAGAACTGTGACATTGAGGATGAATTTCAAAGATGGGAAGGCAGTTTCAAGTCCTCATTTACTTAACACAATGCAGCTTCTAAGCGTACTTAGTAATACTGAAGCGAAGTTATTTAATGGATTTAAAATGTGGAAGATATGCTTAGAATGTAAAAGTTCATTGATGTTTTTAACCATAGTAATTGATTTCTCCATAGGTCTTCAAAGCAATGAATATCCCACAGATCAGAAATCCTTCTCTGCCTCCCCCAGGAAGAATGCCAGAAGCTTATTCTGCCAAGATTGCTCTTTTTGGTGCAGGGCCTGCAAGTATAAGTTGTGCTTCTTTTCTGGCTCGATTAGGATACTCCGACATCACCATATTTGAGAAACAAGAATATGTTGGTGGTTTAAGGTAATGCATGTCTCCGTTCTGTATTTTAACTTTTGTTGCCAGAAATCATGGGGTGAATGTGATTGGTGTGGAGTAGGAAATTCTGGATCATATGTGGTACTTACTTTGTTTTTTTCCAAACCCTGAAATTTTATTACATTATTCACTGAAAGTTTTATAGTTGGCTTTAAACAATATTTATTTAAAAATTCCTCTGTGTAGTTTTAAGTATATGAGGTCGATATCCACAGAATACTTGTTAATTATAGGCGCAATTGTAAAAAATATTGTGTTATTCCTATGAGTCCGTAACACAGACGGCTGAATCAAGTCGTAGATACAGGAGAAGAGGGTGAGCTAGGCATGCAGTCTGTCGGACTTTCCTGTGCCTGGCTGTGTGTAGATGCCATTCTGCTTACCTCTTTTCAGTTTGCAGTCTCTTGTGCTTGATTATATTTTCCAGAGTCTACTACAAGTGTTTATTTAAAGATCTATTTCTTCCTGATTATACAATTCCAATTATACAATATACCCTATCAGTAATCAATATTAATTGCATAATTATTTTATTCCCCTGAAGATTCTTAAAATGACATGGGAAATTTCACTTTATATTACTGATTTCCAGAAGTTTATACCAAGCATAATAAATGAAGTTTATGTAAAATAAATATATTCTTGCACTAAATATACATTACATTTGTGATAGCGAAGAAATAAAATTTAGTACTGGTATGAAATGAATATTTCTTAAAGCATTTGAAAAAAATGAGAAAAAATGATAGTGGTATATTAATAATCATTATATCAATAAATCATATCCAATTTATTATTTTCTTTCTTTACTATCTTGAAAGATTGTGCATTATAAAATATAAATATTTTTGAAAATGTGTTTGTTTTTAAGCCATGGAATTTTTAAAGCTACGAGACTATTTTTGAATGATGGATTTATCCCAGCTAAGCATACAAAGAAAAAAGTCAAGTTATGACTAAAATTTGTTATGCTGGCAAAAATATTTGGGCCACCTCCAAAGCATCTTTGTAGATGTGTACATTTTAATCCTGGTTAATTGACTTTAAAAACCGAAGAAAATACAAAATTATCAGTGGCATGTTTCACTATCTTTATCAACATACATATTGACAGATAACTTGTTCGTTACATTAAACTAATTGAATTGTCAGGTATGTCATAGATTACAAAACCTTTTGCACATAATATGAAGTATAAATAATCCAAATGTGAAAAAATAGTTATTTTTTATGCTGGTATTTCTCCACTATTATTTTTAAAGCATTATGCAAATTGTATAATTTTTTTCATATATTATTTTGCTGAAAGGATTTATACTGTCTTTTAAAATAGCATCTTATGAAAGCATTACCAATTAGGAAAAACATAATCTACCAACACAGATGTGTAGCCATCGTAACGTGGTCTACTAACAGCTTGTGTGTAAACATCATACAAGTTTTTTAATTATACATATCAGATTATGTGAGCTAATTTTAGAAACAGGAACTGTATTTTTGTACACTAGGTAAAATAGGAAATACCTCTCTGTTCCTTAAAATGAAACCGGCCTTTTTTGTGAATTTTTGCTAAATTTCATAGAAGATTATGGTAGGTGGCATTTCTGTCCTTTTCTTTCTTATCTAAATGTAGTGGAGAATTTCTAATTTACATAAATCAAGCACTAAACTTGTTTTAAATTTATTTTTTGTAATTTCTTTTTTCAATTAAATTTAAGATTTATTTATTTTTATTGGAAAGTCAGATAGATGTACAGGGAGGAGGAGAGACAGAGAGGAAGAACTTCCGTTCAAGCCGATCTGAAGCCAGGAACCAAGAGCTTCTTCTGTGTCTCCCTTATGGGTGCAGGGATTAGAACCGGTGCCCATATGGGATCCCAACAGGTGCAAGGTGAGGACTTCAGCCGCTAGGCTATCATGCCGGGCCCTAGTTTTTTTAGATTTTTCTAAGGGGACACATTCTTGTGCATTCATGACCCATTATATCTTTAGAAAGTTTTTTTTTTCTCTCTTTTCCTTTACTTACAAATCTTCCCAGTGTCTAGGAACAATATGACATATTCTATCAGGCTTATTTTAATTGTCCCTTTGTAGAGGCATTCTGTGTCATTGTTTCAGATTATAAAAACTGAACCTTGAATTTAACCAGGCTTGCAACCGCCAAACTTTCTTGTTCATTTTTCTCAGCGTATGGATGCTTCTCGTTCTCTTGTATGTTTAAAGTGGCTAAAAAGGGATAACTTAACTTTATATTTGAAATCAGTTTTTTGAAGAGATGTTGTCAGGTTTTACATTTCTCCCCCCTGCACCCAAACAGGATCTTTTTCCCCCAGTGAATTAGTATCATAGCTACTTTTTAAAAAGCGGTAGATTTGGTGTAAGACATCTAATTTATTTAACACTATTGCTTACTGTTTTTAAAAGATGTATGTATTTCTACTTGAAAGCTAGATTTTACAGAGAGAGGGAGAGATGAGGGAAAAGAGAGAGTGTGAGAGAGAGAGGGAAAAATGAGCGTGAGCGAGAGCACTTCCATTTCCTGGTTTATTCCCAAATGGCTGCAGTTGCTGGTTCTGAGCTGATCCACAGCTGGGAGCCAAGAGATTTTTCTCAGTCTTCCATGTGAATGCAGATTCCAAGCACTTGGACCTTCTTCTACTTTCCCAAGCCTTTAGCAGGGAGCTGGATGGGAAGCAGAGTGGTCTCAATGTCCACCAGCACCCAATGGGATGCTGACACTAACAGGCAGTGAATTAGCTTGAAATGTCCCCATATCAGCACCAACTGATTATTTTTAATGCTGAAAAAGTTTATGAAATATTGGATGGTTTGCTTTCTTTCAAATGTGACTTGCTTATTTTGTGGATTTTTGTGATTTTAAAGGTGTTGGAGGAGCTTGATATTCTGATAATCAGGATAGAGTAGTGTTAAAGAATCCTATTTTTTTTAAGATTTATGTACTTCTACTTGAAAGTCAGATTTACAGAGAAAAGAAGAGACACAGAGAGAGAAATCATCCATATAGTGATTCACTACCAAAATGGCACAATGGGTGAGCCTTGGAATGCTCTAAAATCAAGAGTCGAGAGCTTCTTCCAGGGGACACCTTCAGCTTCTTTTCCAGGCTATAAGCAGAGAACTGGATCAGAAGTGAACCAGCTGGGACAGGAACCAGTGCTCATATGGGATGCTTGTGCTGCAGGTAGAGGATTAACTTACTAGGCCACCTTGCCCGTTCTGTGTTAAAGAATACTACATATCCACCATACCCTTATGCACTTCATGATTATTATTTTTTATGGTGAATATACATGAGTTAAAAATACTTTGCTACTTGGAGAATTAGGAATAATACTGTTCTTTATTCTTCCTGATATTCTGGTGTTTTCATTATTTTTTTAAATTTCACATTGAGTGATAATAAGGAATAATTGTATCTGTGTGAAACAGGTGGGCATTTCAGCCAGTTAATGGAAAATGGAATTAAAATTTGATGCTTAATTGTTTAGATGCCAGGATGAATTTGGAATTATCATTTGTTTATAATGTTTCTAAGAACTTTCTAAAATTATTACTTACTTATTGTTGTAATATGAAATATTTGACTGCATGCATGGTGTAATGCAAGTGTGAATTCTCATTTACCCTCATGGATTCACTTTATTTTTAATTCATTATCTGGGGTTCAGCATTGTGTATGTTAAGCCTCCACCTTGGATGCTAGTGTCACTCATGAATGCTGTTTTGAGTCCTGACTGCTCCACTTCCAGTCCATCTCTGTTAGTTTGCCTGGCAAAACAGTAGCAAATGACACAATAGAGAGGGAAGGAGAGATGGAGAGTGGGAAGAAGAGAAAGGGAGAGGTTGGGAAAGAAGGAGAGTAGGAAAGAGAGAGTTTCAGAATGTTCCTTTGCGGGGTCCACTCCCCAAATGTCTACAACAACCGGGGCTGGGCCAGACTGAAGCCAGGAGCCTGGAACTCCATCTGCGTCTCCATTTGGGTACAGAGACCCAAGTACTTAGTCCAGCTTCTGCTACTTTCCCCTGTGTGTTACAGGCAGCTGGACTGGAAGCAGAGCTTCACTATGAGTTGCTGTCACCGAAGGCAGTGGTTTAAGCTGTTGTGCCACAACATAGGTCCAATTTAAAGCTCTGCTTTAAGAAGTGTTTCACAAAGCGAATTTGAAAAATTTGTGTTTGCTTGTAGAGATGTAAGCAAGAGTAATGGCTGTTTAGTCTTAAACGTGTTTTATTGCATACCAAAGATGTTTCAAATTTAATTTGCTGATCTTCCAGTCTTTATAACATTATTTTCAATATGAATTACTGAGTAATGAGTGATTGTAATCTTAATTCAGTCTTGTTAAAATTAAAGATATAATACACACTGTCACTATGTTAAATCTTAAGCACCATAAAAAATTTGTATGATCACTCTGTGACAAAATTGAGGCAATTTATATTACTATATTCACTATCAGTTTTTTGAATGCCAATTCAGCTGGTCAAATATCAGAATGTATCATTTCATGGAGGTTGTACCACCTGTTGCCCATGAGAAGATGGGATAAGGAATGACTGTAACTCATTCAGTGTGTGCTGATTGCCAGTGTTTACAGGGAATTTTCTATCCACACCCCATTAGAGTATAATGTTAAAGAAGCATTCAGAAAAAATGATTCATTTTGATCATTCCTCAGAATTGAGTGTTATCATTTTTTTTGGACAATGAGAGCTAGTTCCTAATGTCATTGCCATTGTTTGAAATTATGAGGCCTAGAAAGGAAAGAACATGATGATTCCTTCAGGTAGATTTTAGGTTTGCAGTTGAATCATCTAAAAGCCATGCTCCATCCTTCCTAGTGTTTGCAGGTGGGCTTGGGGTCTAGTGAAGCAAACGGGCGACGGTGAACTTTGGAACTTGAACAGCTCATCACAAGATCAGTGTTGGGGGAGGAGGAACAAGTTTAGTTTTCAGCCTGATAACTTTAAGGTGCCTTATTCCATCCTGGTCAAAATTAAGATCTATATTTTATATCCAAGGAGAGAAATGTGGGAGTCATTTTATGACAGTTAGGGGTCCAAGGTGTTTTACCAGCTTGATCATCTCATCATGTTTCAAACATTCCTGCTTGCACTGGATATTTTACCCTTGTCATGTCCTGCAGCACATGAGGATGTAACTCCCATCTGTTTGCTGACCTCCTGTATTAGTGAATATAAATATGATACATTGAAATAATCAATAATCACTTCCCCACTCTCTACTCACTTTGATGTGACTAAAACTAACCAACTGTTTTCACTAGCTCACATGGAACTTATTTCCCCTAGGGCAACCTGGAAAATGTGTTTTTCTCAAGGCTTTATTCATTTTATTCATTTAATGATTTTTAGCAATCATGTTGCTAAATGATGGCTGGAGAGTTTCAGGGCAAGAAGGCTTGCTTAGCAGACCTGCTCAGCAGAAGTTTTGTGTATGTTGTGCTTTGGTGTTGAGGGTTGCGTTGCCATGGGATGGGCAGACTCTCCTCCTGACATGTCTTTCTTCCTGGTTGATTGAGTTCTTTTGCCTTGTTTCTGCGAGCAAACTTGCCGCTGCTTTCTGTAAGCTTGATGTATCAGAGTTGCTTCTTACCTGGGAGACGCTGCACTTGCACCATTTTCCCATTGTATTTCATATATTTCTTAGGTGTAGCCATAGAAATGCCGGAGTAATGTACAGCCTCACAATATGTTTTGATATGTTTAAGATAATCACTGTGATATAATTGGTTGGTTTTGGTTTAGAATTCTTCATTGATGGCACATTGTTTTAGCTTCCCGTCACATGGCTCGGATGCCAGTTTTAGTTCCAGAAACTGTAGATATGTGGACTTACTGCTTTTCTGCTGAACTTTGTGCCCGTGAAGGCTCTACTTCTGTGTACAAATTACAGCACCAACGAACCTCTATGGTTAGCCTGTGAAAGCAAAGCTTTCTGTGTTGTCCAATGTTCTAAAGGCCTGTGAGATAGAATGGCTGTGACTCACAAGTCAGTCTTACATTTGACCTAGGCTCAGATTTATTGTTATGTGATACATATTTCTCAGTTAATAGAAAGATAATTTAGTCATACAGTTAGAACATTGAATTTTTATAACATTTTGTGAGTGCTGCTTCCTGATTGTTTGATATGTGAAAATTAATTAAATAATCAAGTTCTTAAGTCTTACAAAAAATTTCATAGTCGCTTTGGAGTGCCTTATATTATATGACGCAGAACAATCTTCTTCCATAACTGCTACTTTTCAAGTTCATTGCTGTACACATAGACATGTCTTTCACTACATGTACTAATTCTTACTGCGATTATCTGTGTATCTTTGCTCACAAAAAAAAGAGCTTAATAAAAGTGAAAATTTAACAAAAATTTTGTCAAATCACTATGATTAATGCTGCATCTTATTCTGTGCGTGTGTTACTTGAGCAGAGGAATGAAAAAATATTTTTGTTATTTTATCGTTTGAAGCATTGAAATTGAGCTTTGCACGCTTTTATAATTACAAAATAATTGTATTAGAAGTATCATTTTTCTTTTAAATGCAGATAGTGACCATGATATTAAAAATGTATGTTTTTAGTGACTGTGTCCTTTGAACACCTTCCTTGCTGAGATAGACGTCTTGTTTATTGTAAAAGTGTTTTATAGAGCCTATAGAACCTATTCCATTTGGTTTTGAACAGCATGGTAAGGCAGTTTCACATTGATATTCAAAGAAGGTACAAGTATATTTCCAAAATGTACATATATATCTGTATGCATATTTTCCTCTATGTAGTTTTGAATAACTTTCAAATGCATATCAGAAATCATGGAATGGTTATTAACTAAACAGTTTATTGACTTAGAAATATTGGAATTTCTGTTGCCCGATTTGGTCTATGTTATTTTTTATTGTTTTTAATTTCTTTTTCATATCCTTTTCTGCTCTTCCTTTAGTCTATGTAATGTTCTACCATGCTAATGTGAAAAATGAGGGTGTGTATCTTACAAATTTTTAATGCACTTAGAAGAGATAGTTACTTTTGTCAAACTGATTAGAAACAGAAATTTTTTTTTCATTACTCTTCCCACTGCTGATTCTTTTTCCTTTTTTTTTGTAGTGCCTCTGAAATCCCTCAGTTCCGGCTGCCATATGATGTAGTGAATTTTGAGATTGAGCTCATGAAGGACCTCGGTGTGAAGGTATATGAAAAACATAACACTTCTGTGTGTATTGCTCAAAAAACAAGTAAGCTCTGTACTAAAGCTTCACAGCAAATGTCATGCATCTTAGTGGAGAACAATTAAAAGCTACAGCAGGCAGAAGCAGAAAGATGCTCTCCCTTGCTTAGGGCATTTGTCTGTCTACTGTCTGAATGCCACTAGCTTGGAAAAGGGCAATCAATAGTTCTCATCTGGCACGCCTGCATGTGATTAATTGTCTGTAAGAAACAAATTCCTAAATTGCTTTAGGGGTTCAGTGAAGCTAATAGAAGGATTTGGTTTCTTTATTCACGTTTTGTCATGCAAGTTGTGTGTACTATGAAACATTAGTATTTCACAATTTGGAACACAATTTGTAGCAAAGGTTTGTTTTATTTATTGTATGCATCATGTCATAATGTGGATATGTTAATGCTTCCTTAGCACAAGTACTAAATCAGTGAGCTATAAAGCAACAACATATTTTTCATTGTTGGACAAAATGAAAACTGTGCATTTCTTTTAAGTATTGCTAAAAGGTGATATGTTATACTTTCAAGATATAGCTCTTAATGTTCTAGTTTGTGCTAGTAAGACTACTGTATTTTTACTTCACACCTGAACTTATGATAAATTTGTTTCAAAAATATTAATTTTCCATAATTTATAAAACAGTAAGGTACTGTGATTCATGTAGAAACACTATAAGGAAATGTACAGTGTATTTTCTAAATCATTTAGCCTTTTTCAAAATACACTGTACATTTCCTTATAGTGTTTCTACATGAATCGCTCTGTCTCTCCTCTCTGTATATCCGCATTTCCAATAAAAAAATAATAAAAATAAATCTTAAAAAAATGATTTAGCATGTGACTCTATCAGTAAAAGTTAAAACCAGTCAGTAAGAGGGAAACCACATGAACTGCAATCTACACATTTGTACTTCTTGTTACAATTGATTTGATAGTAGATGATGAAATGGTTCCATGTAACACTAAAAACAGTCTGATCGTTAAGACACAGCATAGTTGTAAATGACTTTATGAAACTTCGATGTCCAAGTTACAATATTCAAAATAGTTAATTTGGGGAGGGTTGAAAAGTTATTCAAATGTCTTTCATTTTCAATTTAATTATTACATAATTAAATAAAGAAAATTATTTCCTGAAGTTTCAAACTGAAATATTTGGTACCTTTCCCAATTATGGTTTAATCCAAAATTTCACAAGGCCAGCTATGTTGTATAGCTTAAAGCATACCCATCACTCACATTTAAAAACTCATCAACACATTATAGATAATGTATTGAGCACAAAAATATACATTTTCAAGAGCACCACAGTTGCCTAGTGGATAATATCCTTACCTTGCATGTGCCAGGATCCCATATGAGTGCCAGTTCACATCCTAGCTCCGCCACTTACCATCCAGCTCCCTGCTTGTGACCTGGGAAAGCAGTAGAGGACGGCCCAAAGCCTTGGGTGTCTACACTGACATGGGAGACGCAGAAGAGGCTTCTGGCTACTGGCTTCTGATCGGCTCAGCTGTGGCTATTGTGGCCACATAGGGAGTGAATCTTTGGGTGGATGCTCTTTCTCTCTGTCTTTCCTTTTTCTCTGTAAACCTAGCTTTCCAATAAAGACAAATAAATCTTTTAAATATATATATTATAGATTTTTGGCTGCAGTGATGCTACTTCCTAATTCTGCAGTGAAATAGCTGTGGGAAAAAGGTACTCAGTTTCCCTTGTCTCGGTCAGTACCTGTTAGTAAGAAGCATATACCAGTATGATCGTGTAAAATCAATGTTTACATATGTATAGATTATCTCTGGAAAGCTTAAGCATTTGGTAGCACAGATTGCTTTGTAGGAAAATATAGAATGAATTTATCACCATTTGGTACATTTGAATTTTAAGACTGTGAATTTATTTATGAAGAAAAGGTAGGAAGTAGATTAAAGAGAAAGTTGATAGCATTGTCATTCCCAATCTCTGGTTGTTTTAAGGTGCAAAGGAGATAGAATATTCAAATTTGCTATATAAATAGGAAATTGAATATACAAATCTGGATGAGAAAAGATATTTCACTTTGGGGAATTGAATTCGTTGATGAGGAATTTGTAGGCTTTTTATGATCTATCAATGTTAGCTATTAGACCTTATTTTTAAAAAATGTATTCATTTCCATTAGAGTGGCAGACCAAAGAGAGAAGGAGATCCAAAGGAAAAGATCCTCTATCTGCTGGTTCATTCCAAAGTGGCCACAATGGTCTGAACTGAACCTACACACAGACAGGAACCAGGAGCTTCTTCGGGTCTCTCACATGGGTGCAGGGTCCCAAGGCTTTGGGCCGTCCTCAACTGCTTTCCCAGGGCACAGGCAGGGAGCTGGATGGGAAATAAAGCAGCCGGGACATGAACCAGATCTCACACAGGATCCTGGCATAGGGAAGGAGAGAATGATGCAGCCACAAGAACATTGTTTGACTTCATTTTGAGAAATGGTCCACGTTGGTTACTTATAATTTCTCATCATCTATATTCTCCTTGTAATATAGCACTTGTCCCTTTTATAGCCTTTTTATATTTATAAGGTGGAGTATAATTTTTTAGCAATGAAACTTTCCCATAGATTTAGAAAGAATTGGTATGTAATTTGTCTTATATTTTTCTTTATTTTGGGATTTTATGATGTTGCTATTTTACTTATTCCTCTATTTTTTATATATTAGCGGGTTTGCTTCACCCAGTCTGTGGTTAACTATTTAATACTCACACTTAGCAGTTAGTCAGATTAGAACTGTCCTGATGAACTCCAATACTGTATTGTTTAACAGACATACCTATTCACGTAAATAGCAAACCATGTCCAGAACCAAGTTCATTTCAGCATCTTTAATCTGGGCTAGTTTTGTTCACTAATTTATTTGTTGAATAATTTAATTAATTTCATATGTTATGCCTGATTCATTTCTGTGAGTTCTTATTTTTTAACTAAAAAAATGGTGGTACTTGAATATAATGTTAGTCTTATATGTTCTATTTCCTTTTCATACCTTTTTCTTACATGATATCAATGGATGGGATCTCTGATTTATTGAAAACATGAAAACATATTGAATCTTTTTTATCTTTGAGATATCATTTTCAATTGTATCAGTTAAATATTATCATTTTCTATTCTTAAGTTACCATAATAGTATAAGATTTTTCATACAATAAAAAACATTTATTTTTTTCAAATAACCCGGTACATTTTCGCATTATGTGTTGAAACACTTTAATGCTTTCATTTCTGGATCACTTTTTGCACCATATTTTATTTCTTGTACACTTGTAGAACTATGTATCTTCTTAAAATTTTCTTATGTGTAAAGTTATTAATTCAGTATATTAAAGATGGAAAAAGAGCAAGGAATATTTTAATATTGTTGCTACACTTGCATAGTTTTTTGTTTTTCTTATTTTTAAAAACATGATATATTCATTTTTATTGGAAGGGCAGATTTATAAAGAGAAGTAGAAACTGAGAGAAAGATCTTCCATTTGTGGGCTTACTCCCCAGATGGGTACAATAGCCAGATCTGAGCCCATCCGAAGTCAGGAGCCAGAAGCTTTTCTGGGCCTCCCACGTGGGTGCAGGGTTTTAAGGCTTGGGTCAGCTCTGCTGCTTTCCCAGACCACAAGCAGTGAACTGGATGAGAATTGGGGCCCAGGCAGGAAGCTGTACCCACATAGGATGCTGTTTCTTGGAGATGGAACCAGTTGAGCCAAATACCCCTGCCTCTCACAGTTTTAAATCTACAAAGCTTCTTTAATATTTTGCTTTAGCCCATTTTCCTATTGTTTTTGTGATTTTTATTAATATATTTAGACTGACTTTATAAATTTCTTACCACTTCATTATTTTAAAAATGATATTGATAAAAATATTTTCTTGATAATTTTCACTAAATTTGGAAATTCTGTTGTCTTCAGATCCTTTTTAAATAGATAGCACTTTGATCACTTCTTTGTATTTGATGATTATTTTTCCTTATTCCCCACCTTAATTTTGACAGTGTAAATTTTCCTAGATTCCTTCTGCTTTTGAGACTTTTTATTTATTAGCATATAATTCAGCATTATTCTAATACACCATCAATTGCCTGATGTTTCCGTTTGATTTCTTGATTGTAAAATTTGTGTTTTTCTTTCATTAATAAGTTAATTGATGTCTTTGAGAGGTAGAGAAACATATATAGAAGGAGTTCCTACCTGCTTATTCACTCTCCAAATGCCGGTGGCCAAGCTGGACTGAACTGGAGCCTAGATCCCAGAAGTTAGTTTAGATCTCCTACATAAGTGGCAGGAATCCCCCTGAAGAAGCAGAAGTGTGCTATAGTCTGCCTTGTCCAGAAACAGGAATCACGGAATTGGATGCAGTCATTGTGACTAGGTCACAGGTGTCCCATGAGGCATCTGCCTCTACTTCTCTAATGTTTTTAGTTAGAGGAGTGGGTAGTAGTTCCTTTACCTAATGCACTTTAAGACTTCTCCAAGTTTTATGTTTCCTAACCATTCATTGTTGTCTGTATTTTTATTCTCCTTATTATCTAACCCTTCCACATTTACTTGCTTCAGTTATATTCTTACTGATTTTTCATTTTTTGTGTGTTGGGTAACGAAAGTATTTAAGGTGATAAATTTTTGTCACAATAAATATTGAAGATGATAATTTTCTGTAATTTTGTGAGCATCTATGCATTTTCATTGTTTAGTGTTATTTTCTGGAATAATTATAGTTGTTACTTCCCTTTTAGGCAATAGTTTCATGAAATTGTAAAAATTTGCTTCCATTTTTTATGATAGATTCTGAATTTTTGCTTATTTGTTTTGAATTTGCTTATTTGAAACGCAGAGCTACAGAGAGAAATTGAGAGACAGAGAATAAGAGCAAGAGTGAGAGCGAGAGTGACAGAGGTATCTTTAGTCTGCCAGTTCACTTTCCAAATGGCTGCAGTGGGCCAGGCCAAACCTAGGAACCTGGAATGATATCTCTGTCTTGTACATGGCCAACAGGGTCTTAAGCCTCTTCTGCTGCTTTCCCAAGCACATTAGCCAGGTGCTAGATTGGAAATGAAGCATCCGGGCCTAGACTCTGTATTAATACAGTATGCTGGCTTGGCAGGTGGTGGTTTAACTACCATGATGCTGGACACCAAATATTCCTTTTGCATGTTTAGATAAGATATACAATTTGAAGTTAACTAAATATATTCTCATAATATGTTTTAATTGAAATAATCTTTGATAGTGCAATAAAATTGTTCTTTAGTTTAAATTGACTTAGTTGTATTTTTATAAAAGCCTTAATGTTGTGGTAAAATTCTAATATAGCTCCTGGCAAGTATTTGCTATCCAGTGTGGACTTTAATAGAATCTCTCATTGTATTTGTGTCAGAGCGTATAGCAATCAATTCTATTAAATGCTTCTCTCCTGTTTTGCAATTCAAAATTTAGTTGAATATTATAAATTTGCAACTTGAATATTTTTCTTTAATCAGTTTTATGATATTTTCAAATTTTCAACGTTGAAGTGCTGGAGTCTGCAACAGGTTATCTAATTTCTTTCATTACATTCTAAAAATATTTGCCTTTTCCCAAAACATTTTAATAAAATTCTTCTTTGAATGAGAGTAATTTGATAGTGATGCATTTGTGTTGCTGCATGACTTAAAACAAAATATTTTAGAATGCTTTCTATATAGAGTAATATCTCTATATAATAGAGATATATATTATACTCTATTATACTCTACATAATAGAGTAATATCTCTATATAGTTTTGTTTTAAACATTTATTTATTTTTTATTACAAAGTCAGATATACAGAGAGGAGGAGAGACAGAGAGGAAGATCTTCCATCCAATGATTCACTCCCTAAGTGAGCCGCAATGGCCGTTGCTGTTCCGATCTGAAGCCAGGAGCCAGGAACTTCTTCTGGGTATCCCACATGGGTGCAGGGTCCCAAAGCTTTGGGCTGTCCTCGACTGCTTTCCCAGGCCACAAGCTGGATGGGAAGTGGAGCTGCTGGGATTAGAACCGGCGCTCATATGGGATCCTGGCACGTTCAAGGCGAGGACTTTAGCTGCTAGGCCACGCCGCCAGGCCCCTATAGTTTTGTTTTAAACAGTGCTAATTTGAAGCAAGAATTCCCATTATCATGGAAAATATTGGACAAATATAAAGTTATTTATGTTTATCTAACCAAATTCTTGTAAAAATGTAAAGAGTATGTTCATTGTAATCTCTGGACATCTAATATCATGTATTTAGGGAATAATGTTAGCATTTCACAGATTCGTACACATTTTATGTTGGTTACTGGTATATTGTGAAGCTTACTGTAGTTTTTTTTTATATATGTAACAAATCTCAGTACAGTTTTCCAAGGCATCTTATTGTTTCGAAATACTCTGTCAAAACTCTTGCTCCTAGTGCTCTTCTTTCTTTATTTCATGCCAATTGCTTGGGGGCTGAGCCATTAGAGAGGAAAGTGACATGGTGTTCATTACTCCTTGAATGCTGTTCTGGTTCTCGTTTTAGCCTCTGTCTTTCCACAGTGTCAGTCCCCAGTAAAGTCAAAAGCATGCCGCTCTTGGTTAGCTCACACTAAGGTTCAGTATGTTTCTAAGAATGCTGTGTAGACAAGGAAAAGTCGCATGCTCCTGTCCTCTACTTGCATATCATTTCTTGCTATTGTGAAAAGACTGTAGAAATAAAATGTTTATGGATATTTCCTGTATTTAGTAACTCATAACATGCTGTTCAATTTAGAGGGTGGAAGAATTGAGACATTGTCAGTCACTTTTGGTAAATGATAAAAATTTCCAAATTAAACTAAACACACAGAAACATAAGCACATACACACACCATCTCAAGCGAGATGAGAGATCCTTCTTGGATCACTGCTGAAGCAATAAATAACTTACCGATTGTTGCCTAAATATGCCTAACTATTGTTGGGCATTCTAGTTCTTGTATTTTGCTGTTATGCAATTTATTTGTATTTCTTTTTAGTTTTTAAATTGACATGTTATAGTTATATGCAAATGTGTGATACAAAGTGGTTTCTTGATACGTGTAGACATTATGTACTTGTGATCACGAAATTATCCTCTTGGGACTATTTTGAAATGTATAACCTAGTATTGGTACCTTAGTCACCCTACTGTATGATAGAAATTCAGGATTTGCTTTTTTCTGTGATGTCAGATGCGTTAGCTTACAGTACGCTTTGTACCTTATGTTGTCTTTCATATGTAACTTTTATTATAGATCGGTACTAAAGTGACACTACATCATAAAATAAGCACAAAATTAGCCACCTTTCTAACAAATAATTCATCCTGTCTCAGTTAATGAAAACGTGAAAGCCTATTAGATAATTTTATTTCCCAGTACTTGTAACAACACTAGTAGGTATCCATTAGTAAGTCTTTTTTCACTAAAAGTCTATTTAGAATATCTGTTCTTGCCCTCGAGAGTGAGGTCATTTGGCCCTTGAGTTACCCTTTAACCTCAGTAAGAGCACAGTTGTTAGGCGCATTCTGAAATGAGACTGATTATCTGGCTCATTTTTAGTATCTTCAGCTGTAAAGTGAGGGCACTGCTAGCACTCCAAAGCGCTGTTGTGATGATTGAGTGGGTCAGTCTGTGCTGAGTGTTTTTGCATGGGATTAAGTATTCTGGGTAGGTAAGCTGCAGTTATTACTGCTTCTGGGTTATGCTGTTCCTACTCTCTGATTTAGCTTAAGGATTGTGCCTTTAGAATCCAAAAAATTTCCAGACAGAAATGCAAGATGCATTTATTTATTTGTTTATTTATTTATTTTACATTACAAGGGATATACTGACCCATGCCTAATGATTGATTTCTCAACTTCATGCAAATGACTCTTCCCCGATCATAGGTTCATCTTCCACCCTCTGAATGCATATGTCTTAGCAGACTTTCCACTTAGCCCTTTGCTGTGCAGGTGGATTTGCGTAAGCATCAATGGAGCAATTCATTGTGACATGCTGTGGGAACTCTGGGCCACATCAGACAGAGTTTCTAACTTTGACCTCTCCCTGAGGTAGAATTGTATATGAATGTTGTTATTGGTATTCGGTGACAGGGAACTGATGTTGATAATTTGTGTTAATTGAAATTGAAAGAGCATACTTTATCTGAAGCAGTGCTGTCATGCAGTGAACCCCATGGCATTTTAATTCTGCTGCAGCAGTTATGCCACATCTGTCATATGAAATCAGATATTGTTGAGTTTATCGTTCATCATCAAGGAATCATCTAGTCTCATCCGAGATCACCTTGATGAATTGAAAGATAAAAGACAAAGACCACTCCTACATCTCCCCATCCCACATAAATCTACAATATTGCATGGTGTTTTATTTATCCTCTTGGCCAGGTTTTCAGGTGTCCTTCCTAATTGTTTTACCTATTAACCTTTTTGTTTCACAGACCAGGATTTCAATGTTGGGATTACCTTAACTGAAACTAAATATAATTTGTCTGTGAATTGTAATAGTGATTATCTGATATATGATTATCTGATATATGAATCTGACTGATTCATTAGCTTCAGTGTGTCAGTTATGAATCAGACTTCAGTTGGGCCTGATTTTTTTTCTTTGCACATTTGTGTAGTTCCCAATCTTGTGTCTTTGCGTATCAGTGTAGATGGAGGACATATTGTAACAGTATTTGAAATGTCTGATTATTTCTCTTTGCCCAAGACTAAGTTGCCTGTGTATTTCACTCCAGTCCCCTTTGGGGATCAGGGCAATCCTCACAGTATTCACATGCTGAGGTGATGCAGGGTCACTTCTCTTAGGCACTTGGTCCCTTACTCACTCTGCAGAGGCTGGTTCTGAAAATCTGCTCTTGTCTGGAAGCTGTGTAAAGTATTGTGACTTTTAATAGAGGTGACTCTTCTCTGTCCCCTGACTTGTTCATGTTCTCAGGACAGTGCCCCCTATCAAAATCCTATCTGTTCTTGGCAAAAGCCCCATTGAAATCCCACTTCCTCCTGTGTTCTCATCCGTATGCTCCTTGTTGACATCAATTTCTCCATGTTCTGAATTTCCATATACATACACAGTTTTTTAGACCAGCTTAAGTTTATTAAAGTAGATTCTGCAAAGCAGGAATCGTTCTTTACCTGTTTTATTATGTAAAGTGTACCACATGGCTATAAATTTTACTAACCTAAAATAATTAGCTTTTCTTCTGCATTAGACTTTAAATGCTACATTGTAGTGTGCGGGTATTTATGTATACATTCATACATGCAATCTATTCTAGAAATGAAAATAATTCTGTATATTACCTATGGAATCAAAGAGATCTTACATGGAGTTTAGGACTTGTGCTTTATTCTTTTTAATGCTAAATATTAAGATTTCAGTTAACCAGATACCAAAATAATTATTATTCATAATGCTGTTTTTTGCAGATAGTTTGTGGCAAAAGCCTTTGTGTGAATGAAATGACTCTTTGCACTCTGAAGGAAGCTGGTTACAAAGCTGCTTTCATTGGAATAGGTAAGTAACTGACGTTTAACATTTTTTTTTGATGCTTACAAAATCCTAGACAGTTTTGTAAGAATTACTTTCTTCAGATATTTCAAGGTGTAAGCTGTTGATAACCAGGAATAACAGACAAAAATAGTTAACCAAGTAAATGCTTTTTGACTTTGTAATAAGTTGTTTTGCTTCACCTTCACTGTGGTTCATTTTGGTAAAATAATTGTTTTTCTCTTCATTCCCTCCACATCACTATCATTGTGAACTTCTCTTAGAATCAAGAAGTTTTTAAGTCATACTGTGGAAATTCAGACTGTGAATGGTAATAAGGGACAGACCTGGCTCTTTCTCCTTGCAATTCATGTTTCAAAATTTTTAAGAGTTTTTCTTATTTTGTTGACTAAATTTTTCTTTTCATAATGTCATGCATTGTCTTATTAGATATTGATGCCTAGTATATCTCTTCTAATCCCTGTATTTAGATGAAAATGAAATACATTTGAATGTTCTTGCAGCTTCTAAGTATATTAAGTGAGCTTCTTCGAAACCGAGAATACCATTGTCATTAGAGTTTCTATTTTAAATTACATCAAGATGAGGAGGGAGAAATGTGTGATATTTTCCCTAGTTTTCATGTGTAAAGGTACTATATATGGCTTTTGTCAGTGTTGGAATCAGTGCAATGAAATAGGACAACTATTTCTATTAATATCTCTAGTGTTAGATCAATAAATTTTTGTTGCACTCAAATACATATGAATAAATAACATGGTCAATTATAATTTAAGTATTTATCGGATTAGCTCCAGCTGTTGCTGCCACTTGGTGAGTGAACCAATTGATGGAAGATCTTTTCTCTGTATCTCCTCTCTGTGAATCTGCCTTTCCAGTAAAATTAAATAAATTAAAAAAAATTGTCAAACATTCAGGTTAAAATAATGGTAACGCTATCAAATAACTAAAATTTGTTATTCAATGTTTTGTTTTTCTGTGGCAAACAGTACCTAAAAGAAATGCTTTCTTTAATTGGAATAGTATATTCTTACATACTTAATTTATATATAAACCCTATGTTGCTAAATTTTAGGTGACAGGTAAGCTGTACATTTAAGTATCCGCAAATTAACTCTATAAGAAATTATTAGAGCACTTAAATTATTTACACCTCTCTGTGATTCCAGCCATGAGACACTTTTGCATCTGAAAAAATTAATGTAACTCTTTTCTGTTATTTTGACCCATTAAAATCCTTTATGGACTCAGGTCCAGGGGTGTCTAGTGGGGACTGGGTCCTTGGCTCTGTATACATGGTGAATGCTGGGTTCGTGAGCCCCAGGTGTAGGGGTTTCCAGCAGGGCCCTGTTCTCCTGGTTTGAGTCCTTGGGCTCACATGCGCAATTGGTGCCAGGTCCATGAGCTCTGGTGATTGGGCGGTCTGACGGGACCAGGTCACCTGATCCAGGCCCTAGGATCCACCTACAAGAACTGGTTTTCCTCAGTGGAAAAGTCGGAGCAGTAGATGGCAGGTCCTGATGCACTTGGAAGATATGGCAGCCTAATGGGGCCTTCAGAGGACATCTCATACCATAGCAGAGGAAGGAAAGCAAAACAAAGTGTATCACTACCCCAGCCAAATGATGACAGCGGAAATATGGACTGTAAAGTAGACTGTGTGAACGAATGGACATTGGAAAGATTTCCTCATCATTGGTGAGATTGAGAGCATTTTAGAACTAATGAAACCAACTATGCAGAACCCTCAAGATGTATGCCACATAGGTACCCTGGGTGGGTATCAGATGGCTGTTCCCCATCCCTGGTACTCAGGAATTTGGGAGCCTGGGTATGGCTCCTCTTATTTCATCCATTCCCTCAGAAACAGGAAGAAGAAAAACGAAAATTTGTAAACAGTGATCATCATACTCCCTTTCTCTAACCCTGGACCCTGATTAGCTATATGAACAACATCAAAAAAAAAAAAAATAACAGCAATCCTCTAAAGTTACTGGAAAATGCTACATCAATTCACAATACATTAATCTCCATTTGACTCTGCAGTGAGATGTAAATCTAACATTCAAAATGCCAATCTCTGTCATACTTATGTTGGTGTGCATTTTCTTTTTAGATCTAAATTTTATATTGTGTAAATCATACACATATTTCACAGTAGTGATTTAGGAGCATATTAATTACTCCCAACCTACACTCCCTCCTAACTGAGTTCTCCGCTGGTCCTTCTTCCTTCGTTCTTATTATTTTTTTCAATGGTATAATCTCAGTTCATTTTACAATGACAGGATTAACACTGCATTAGGTAAAGAACCAAACAAAAAGTGAGTAGAAAAAAAACAAAAAGCAAACAAAAAAGAACCCTCCCATTCCTCAAGTGTTTAGAGAAAGGCTGTTAGAATAATCAGTCTCAAAATGTTATTCTCATTTATATCCATTACATTTTTCTACTCTGGATATTAGTTATCACTGATCAGAGAAATCATATGATGCTTCCTCTTTTTTGGCATGGTGTATTTCACTAAGTATAATAAGATTTGATTGCAAAACACAGGATTTCGTTTTTTTCTTGTGCCTTAGTAGTTTTTCATAAGTATCTGTATGCATGTATTTATATATTATGTGTATATATAGTATATAATGTATTTATATATGTGTGCTTATATATTATTAACATACAATGTTTTGTGTTATGCATTTATATAAAATGAAATTATATATCATAATATATGTATTTTTTTCCAGTCATCATTCATTGACGTCTGGGTTGATCCCATATCTTAGCTGTTGTGACTTGAGCTACAGTATGAGTATGAGTATGCAAACAACCTTCTCATCTGCTCATTTTCTTTCATTTTGGTAAATTCCCTGAGGAAAGATGGTGAGATCATATATTAAATCAATTTTCACTTCTACCAGTTTACGTTCTGCCAGTTTACATTCCCACCAACAGTGGATAGGGGATCTTTTTCCCCACATTCTCACCAGAACTTTTTTTTTTTTTTTTTTTTTTTTTTTTTTTATTGTTGCTTACACTGTATTATGTAGTACAGTTTTATAGGCGCTGGGGATTCCCCCCACCCCTCCCCATACCCCTCCGCCCATGGAACTTATTATTTTTTAAGTACAGATGATAGCCGTTCAAACTGGGTGATATGAAACTTTGTGGTTTTTGCTTGCTTTTCCCTGATGGCTAGTGAATCTGAGCATTTCTTCATGTGTCTTTTGGCCATTTGTGTTATCATTCTTTGAAAATTGCAAGTTCATGTCTTTCGCCCATTTGTTAATTGGATTTTTGGCTATTGATGGTGGTGATACTCCTTAGTTCTTTAGACATCCTCAATGTTAATCCTCTATCTGTTGCATAGTCTGCAGATATTTCCTCCATTCTGCTGGCTGCTTTTTCACTTTGTTGATGGTTTCCTTTTTTGTGTAGAAGTTTCTTGACTTCATGTAAGCCCATTTTAAAGAGTTGCTTTAATTCTGTGTGCTTTGGGGTTCTTTTTCCGTTAGTTCTTGCCTATGAATCTTGCAGAGGATCCCTGATGTTATCACCTAGTAGTCTGAAGGTATCAAGCCACAGATTTAGATCCCTGACCATTTAGAGTTAATTATTGCATAAGTTTTAAGGCGATTGTCTTGTTTCATACCTCTGCATACATAGATTAAATTTACCCAGCACTATTTGTTGAAGACTCTACTCTTTCTTTCTTGATTAATTTCTTTTCACTTTTCAAAAATTCATTGACTGGATATGTGTATTAACTTATGGGATTTTTATTCCATTCCATGACATGATCTTCATGTCTTTTGTTGTGCCAGTTTGCATGCATTTTCTTCACAACTGCCCTGTAGTATATCTGGTGTTGCGATGTCTCTGGGATTGTTTTGTTGTTTACATTTCTTTAGCTATTCTGGATCTCTTGTATTTCCAAATAAACTTTAGCATCTCTAGGGGAATGTAATAGGTATTTTGATTTGGATTGCATTATATGTAAATTGCATATAATAGCATGTATATTTGTTGATATTAATTTTTCCAAGGCATTTCTTTCTTTTTTATTTTCTTAATATTTTGTAATTTGCATTGTAGGCATCCCTCACATTTTGATTGAATTTATTCTAGTTTGTTGGCATGTGCCTTTAATGATTCCTGTATAACTTGAATATTTGTGGTGTACCTTTTTATGTTTCTTTTTTCATCTCTGATTTTATTTGTTAGAGTCTTCTTCCTCTGTTTTTTGCTTTTGTTGTTCTTAGTTGAGCCAACGGTGTGTCAATTTTTTTGTTTGTCTTTAGAAATACCAGCTCTTCAGTTGGCTGATTTATGTATAATTTGTTTTAATTTTATTTATTTCTCATGAAATGTTAATTCTCTCTTTCTGTTAACTTAGAGGTTTTCTCCTAGATCTTTCAAATGCATTGAAATACATTTGTTTGTATATTTCCTAAGTGTTTTAAGTCATTCATTTCTAGCTTCCTGCCATGGTGGTCAGAGAAATGTATGTTATGACTTCAAAATTTTTTAGAGTTTTATAGCCATGCTCTGATGAAAGAAAGTATGTTCTGCAAATGTGGGATGGACTGCTATGTAGAAATCAATTAGGCCCATTTGATCCATACTATAGATTAGCTCTGTTGTTCCTTTCTTGATTTTCTGTCAAGTTGGTCATCATGCTAGTGGAAGTGAGATGTTGAAGTTCCCCCTTAGTGTATTGCAGTCTGTGTCTCCATTTAATCCATTGACAATTATTTTAAGTAGCCACATGTCCTGACGTTGGGTTATAAACATTTACTATGGTCACATTTTCTGTTGAATTGTTTCCTTAATCATTATGTAATGCCATTCTTTTTCTCTTTTAACAGTTTTTGTGTTAAAGTATATTTTATCTGATATTATCATGGCTAAACCTGCTCATTTTCCCTTTCCATTTTGGTAGAGTATCTTTTATATCCTTTCACTTTTAGTCTGTGTACATCTTGTAGGCAGCAAATAGATTTTTAAA